TAAAACCGATTTTCATCCTATTTGGTGTGAATAAAATTGGCATTTTTACGGATGCGCTTCCAAATTCAACATTTTAGAATGAGAGGTTCAAACAGAACAGTGACAAACTGCTGTTATAGTGGAGAGAAACAACTTCATTCATTATTCATTTTCACCATATCCCTTTTCATTTAGGATGTGCTGTGGCTTAAACCTCATACATATCCAAATAGACTGTGCTGATGTATAAAGGCGGTATTTTGACGTGTTAGACAGTGTGGCTGCTGTAGACTCTTTGAAAGCATTGATCAGCAGCTCATTCTAATGCATGGCCGATCTGAAAGAGCCCTGTGGTAACCTCTGCGTGCTACGTATAGACAAGCGGAGGGTGGCATGGGTCTGACTCACCCCTCAGTTTGGTTAAAAATTGATTACTTGCTGCTGGTTTGCATTTAAAGGGCTGAAGAATATAATAATGCTTAATCATATTTCTATCATTTATGTCTGCATGCAGATTCAAAACAAAATGATGCAATATTTGAGTCAAAGACATTGCTATTCTATTCCAATAAGAAGCCACATGCTCCTGTCTGCTGTTTGTGAATGAATGAATTAATTCTCTTGTCTGCTGTGTAGTGATCCTCTAGGACATCTGTGACTCCCAATATTTGGACTCTCAACATTCATATTGGAATTTGTTTTATAAAAGAAACATCTTATCACATTCTGTTTTGTCATGCCGTTTGGAGTCCCTGCACAACTTCAGGAGAAACGTGGTCACATCAAAGGAATATCTGTTCATTGGACTTATTTGCATACTATGATACTCACAACATTCCATAGAGCCTGTATTTTAATATAGTGTATGGAGTGCAGCTGACAAATCTGTTCTCATAGCTATGGTAACTATAAAAGGTCAGTCTTTTACTCCCAATTTAGAACAAATTTTTCTGTAATTTAAGTTTAAACTTAAATACACTTTATCTATCCCTGCTTGGTCATTCGTCCTCTGCATTTGTCACATCCTGCAAAGCTACCAGGGCGTCTGTCAGGAGCAGTGGTCTCTGTAGTTCAGCGCCCAGGGACCAGCTTCCGGTGGGGAGGGAGGGATACCAGTGGTAGAGTATATACCTATAGTACAGAGCACCCAGAATAAACCTAGACAGACGCCGGGAGAATAAGCGCCACTCAGAAAGAAGAAAGACCCTGCTTTGATGAGGATTCAAACCCAGGACGGCCTTCTTGCTTAAACGTGAAAGTGCTAACTACTTCAACATGCCGTCCTGGGCCAACTATCAGATTGTTCAATATTAGTTCAACTCTAGGCTAATTATAAGGAGTTTGAGCCCGCCACAAGACTTTCTCCCACTTATGTTCGCTGTCGTTGGGGCCTTGGGAAAGACACTTCACCCATATTGCCTAGAATGTGTGTGTGTGTGTGTGTGTGTGTGTGAATGGTTGGTGGTGGTCGGAGGGGCCGATGGCACATACTGGTTATCTCACTTCAGTCACTGTGCCCCAGGGCAGCTGTGGCTACAGTAGTAGTTTATCACCACCGTGTATGGAGTGAATGAATAATACATGTAAAGTGTCTGAGAGTCCAAAAAAGCGCTATAACCCTATTCAAAAACTAAAATAAAAATAGTCTTTTGGGCAGTAGAAAGTCTTTCAGGTATTTGTTTAGAATAAAATGGCAGGTTTGTGAATACAGTCACTAGTAAATAATAATCTGGGAAAACATTTAGACAATTTATTTAAAAAAGAAAATTATCATTATTTCCCACGGAGTTGAATTGGCACCTAAAACAGAATTCTAGGACCTTGATTATAAAAGGCGTTAGAGTTCACATCCTCAAAGAACTGACTGTCATGTACATAATGTGGGATTGATCAGATGGCATCTGTCTGTCTCTCCTGATAATGTTACTAATATAAATGAAGACACACGTTCCACGCCACTTCCAAGTCTAGAAGGCATCATTTATTTTTTTGGGGTTTTAAAAACGTATTATGTCTGGCTGCATTTTCTACTTTGGTGTGATGATCTTTCCCGTTGAATGTTATTGACTTGCACTTGACAGAAGATTCATACCTGATCTGCCTGTGAAGTAAATGTGTTGAGATACAGCTGTACATAACGCAGTGTTGTAAAGCAGACAATCCATCATGTGGCACATTTGTCAGCGCCGGGCAGCTTTGACAGATGCTCTCTGTTACATGTCCTCAAAAAGAAAGTGACAAGAGTCTAAAAGAAATACATGCCTTCCAGCTGCAGTGTCACGTGGCTATCTATTAATCCTCATCAGAAATAATGGAATGAGTAATTACACTGGCCCCAAGTCAGGAGTATTTTAATGGATCCAATAAAAGTGTCTATCAAAACTGAAATAATGAAAGTAGTCATGTAATATAGAAATTCAATTCTGATTTATCTCCTCAAACTGGCACTAATTCTACAGTTCAGAGCGTGATAAACGCTGTCTAGTCTCTCATTCTACCCATCCAATGTTGGAAATAGTCCTGTTTTTATCTTTGAAATATTGTCTTAGTCCTGATTTTGTTTCAATTATACTATTTTTACCCTGTGTTAAAGCAAACACAGTGGGACATTCTCTTTTTAAATACCTTTTAAACAGGTCGCTGAGTGGGTAATGCTCATGCTTCATATAGCTAGAATTATCATGGTTTCAATCCCCTGTGACTGGGTGGTTTCCTCCAGGCGCTTCAGTATCCCTGCACCTGACGGAGATGGGTCCCCGCGGGCGCTGCACTGGGGCGACCACTGCTTCTGACAGGATTGAAGGATGGGTCAAATGCAGAGGACACATTTCCCTACAGGGACAATTTTATGTCACCTACAGTGTATGTAGAATGCCATATTGTAAGAGCAAATAAACAAACAGCTCAAGGATGAGTCAGGCATTTAGAGACAGATTTTGTAATGACTTTAATTAGCTTTGACATAAGGATCACTATATTTTCAATTGCAAATGCTTATCAAGAGAAAGCAGGGGAATGGAGAAGGGACAGTTCAGTGAATCCTATTACATTATAGTTGTCGTACTGTTTCAAGTCTCCTGCTGTTTTTAATGCAGTGTGGTTCAGTTGTAGGCCTTATGTTCCTGCTTCATCTTTTTGTCTGGAGTTGACTTGAAATGTATTTAAACGAGTGAATCTGCTTTCTCTCACATGGTGCGTTGATGTATTCTGAAACAAGCCCTTGCTGTCTGCACCTTTGGGGGGAATAAATCAATATGTCAACATCATAAAGCAGCAGGAGGCTTTTAAAGGAAATAAGTGTCTTTAATATGAAAATACAACGGTGGTCTGACACATTAAAGGCTGCTGTTGTTCCGTGCAGGGCTCTATCCCAGTGCATTGCCGGCCTCTGGAATCAAAGACACGCTGTGTTCTGCTGATCATTAATAATAAACAGCAGCACTGTGGAAGCTGTGAAAGAGAATGATCGCAATAAATGTATGTCAGGGGAGAGGCCATTTTCAACTTCTTTCTCTGAGGAAATCTCTTCTTTGTATGGCCCCTGACTGAAACATGAAATATTTAATATATAAAATTGTGTTTCAGTTTTGAGTCTGTTATGGAATGATGTGTTAGAACTACAACTGCATGATTTAAAAGAGAAAGATTACACAAATTTACCATTTAAGCTTTTAACCATTGTGTTTACACTGTTCTCTCATCAGAAGCGGATCTGGGGTTGTTTTTAGATCCATCCATGCTAATATCAGAAGTTTTACTTGACCCCCTCCCTGCCTTCTCGTGCCTATAGTATCATGTAATTCTACCTCTATGACATCACATTCAGAAAAGTTGTCTCCCTTTTAAAGAAGAAATATTCTTTTTATCCATTAGTTTATGATGATCATTGTCATTTTATGATTAAAATGTCCCGGTATTTATGTTTCGAAACATTAAATAAGGACACCCACCTCTATCCCTATGTTACCACCAGAGGTGTTTTCTCCCAGTTTGAAAATTACCAGCAGCAAACAATTTAGGCTAGAAATATTTTAATTTGATATACCCCATCTCTGGTGGTAGCCTAGTGAGTTAGATATGTAAGGCATTGTTTACACTTTTTACTTGTTTCATCATTTAAGATATTATTTCACATTGTAAAACATGAGTAAAGTCGATCTGCTATCTACATAGTTCGAAAGACAATGAGACATATGATGAATAATTTGTGTTTTGGTTTTATTTTACAAATACACTTTTTGGGCAAATGAAAACATCACTGAGGCTGTATTTTCGCATTATAATATTTTCAAAGGCTGCTTTGAAATTAGTAATTAAAAAACTGACATTGCCCCACGGCACAAGTGTGAAGTTATCAAAAAGTTTTATGTTGCGGCTAAACATAAATCCAAACTTACCACTTGAAAATACTTCTTTAAACCATTCATTGGAGTCAGACTTTTCTCTGGCCCATCTGGTATTTTTGGTTTCATTGCAAAATAAATATTGGATTATGGATTTATTTGTAACTGTTACAAGAAACTTTAGCTTGAATTAAGACAATATTTTTTCAATTTAATTACAGTATTGGCATAGTGTAATGTTGAATATTGTCAAATATTCATAAAAGTAATATTAATATATAACTGACAAACGGAAGAAAATGTATACAACATTTAGAAATCACATCTTTCTTAACATATACGTAATAATAGAAAATAAAAAAACATTGCCACAGTTTATCAATTATGACTGGAATAGCCTTCAAACCAATTGTATTTTGGTTTTAAACTCTCGGGGGTTTCACTTCCTGAAGCTGGCAATACTCCATACATACTGTATATACACAGTATATGTGTGTTTTTCTGCTTGGTGGGAATGAAAACCTGGACCCACGCAGCTCATTCAGGACCAGTTTGAGGACTCCTGTTAATCACATTGTTTGATACAGATTTATTTTTGTTGTTTCTGGTTTGGTCATGTTCAAGTTATGATCCATTCTTAGTTTGGCTCAAATTCAAACCAGCCTCCCTCTCCCTCAGGCCGCAGTAAGAAGAAGGAGCAGTGTCTGGATGAGAAGCTGTTTCGCCTGGAGGAGACTGAGCAGTGTCCCTGTGATGAGCTCCTGTCGCAGCCTTTTGGGGACTGGACCGACTGCCTGCTGCCTGACCCCCCCACCAGGGGGCAGCACCAGCAGAGGTGGAGGAACTCACGACAGAGCAGAGAGTGCGGACAGGGCCTGCGCTACCGAGCTGTGAGCTGCCGGGACCAGAGCGGACGCCCAGTCAGCCCCACCCTCTGCACTGAGACAGGTAAGAAGACCCAAGGACAATCCATGGGGAAGACACCAATCGTTAAAGCTGCGGCACTTAACATGTTTTCTCCATAAACAGAAAGACCATTGTAAAAGTATGTTTTGAGAATGTGGTTTGGATACTAAGATCTGTGCGCTCTTTGGTGCATGTGTGCATGTGTATGTCTACAGTGTTAGATATGGCATAGATGGATTTGATTTGATTTTTGATTTGATTTATTTCAAGCTTATAAACAGGAATCATCTTTGAAATGTACAGTAATTACTTATTTTACTGAATGGAAATATACATATGCAAATATATTCTTATATACATTTAAGGGTTTCCTTTGTTCACTGCTGTCAAAGCTTAAAATGGAGTGGGATGAAGTTAGACTTGTAAAAATGTAATAGGCATGGCAAGTTTATTTGTATAGCAATTTACACACAAGGAAACTCAAAGCTCTGAACAAAACAAGATCGAAACAATCACAAAAGCCTTTAAAATCTTACATAATCACAGTGCATTAAAATGAAAATGAAAATAAAAATGTACAAATAAATAATAAGTACTAAGGTAAAGATAAACCAAACCAAATGAATGCACTAAACAAACAGAAATAATACAAGATAAAACTGTATTGATCTCACAACAGATAAATGTACACCACAGACCACAACATGCCTCTTTATCATGCCTTCTCACAGAAACACATGTTATCGTTTGCATATTTGTAAGAAAAAGACAAAGTTCTGTGAGACGCTTTTTTCCACTTTTCTATGTGGAAAAATCTGGCAAAAATACATGAAAACCACGGTTTTGTGGTTTGATAAGGTTTCCCATATTTTAGTGTCATTTACCAGATATCCTGGAATACAGTGGAGGATGAAACAACCCGGTGTTTACTGCCATAAAAAGTAAAATTATTTTGTGATGTATTTGTATTAATGTGTTTTCATATATCTTAAAAAAAATAGTGCATTTTCAATTGGCTAAAACTTTACACACTGGGGTTTTACTGTAAAAACACAATACTAAAAGGAATTGGACTCAAACATTACACCATGCGATCTTATTAGAAAACTTGTTTTTAGAAAATACTTAAAAATGAGCCATATAAGTGACTTTTTGAGGCTGAGAACTGAAGGTAGGCCTTTCTTGTTCTTTCTTACTGTATGTCTGAAAAATAGGATCTAAGTGTGACCAAAAAATACATTCATGTTCAAACAATGCAATAGTATAAAATTAGCGCGAGGAATTGTGAATCCTTTCAACTGTACAAGAACAAACAATTAGAAATCGTTTGGCCTTTGAGAATCGACAATTAGGTTAATTTTCTGTAATTGAATCACTTTAAGCAGGCAATCAGCAATGAAAATGGTTTTATCTCAAAGTTATGCTGATGGAAGCAAACCAAAATAGAAAACAAACCAATTATACAATTTCTTCTCAGAGCGATGGCGCGGCACTGTTGGAGACACTCATTAGTGCTATAATGGTCTTTTGTTGTGAGTCTGTTACAGAGGTCTACGGATCAAACCAGCGGTGAGTTGGTCTGAGACAAAAAATGCCATCTTCCCATGTAATTATCCCTCTGCTGTCTCTGTTGGATCGCAGGCTTCACGGTGGAGGTCTGCACCATGCCCTGTCCGCTCGACTGTAAGCTGAGCGACTGGTCTGCCTGGTCTCTCTGCAGCGCCTCCTGTGGCAGCGGCCTGAAAATGCGCTCTAAATGGCTCCGGGAAAAAGCTTTTAATGGTGGTCGACCTTGCCCCAAGCTGGATCTAAAGAACCAGGTAAGGCATGCATTTGGTGCCATCCTTCCATCCATTATCTTCTGTTTTATCCATTGTTTTTTCTCTCTTCTGTTTTCATACTCATGTTTCTTGTGGTACATTTTGTTAAAGTACCAGTTTATTGGGACAAAAATAAACACCAGAAAGTTACGTACTACTTCTCTATAGCTGGTGTACCTTACTTATCGTTTCATTCAAAAGACATTTTGTCCCAATAGAAAAACATATTGAATAAGCAAAATATTGTGAGCAAATCAGACCATGGCATCTTGTTATCTTCTGCATACTGGGAAAGAGCCCTGGGGGTCACTAATTTAAGCTTTAGGCTGAGTGAGGGTGGTGCTTTCTTTTTCACGTTTATGTCTGAAAAACGAATACAAGTGTGAGGTCAAAATATACATGCCTGGAAAAACAATTATATTGAGGAACTAGCTATGCGGATTGTATGACTATGTTCTTGCGTTCCCCAGGTTTAAGCCATTTTATTTGACTTTTGGACAGTTCAAAGACTCTTTTGGATTTGATAATTGAGCAGTCCAAGAATCATCAATTATAATTGCATCACACTTTCACCACCACATCAAATATTTACATTTCTCTGATAGATTTCATTATCCATCAGCCAAAGGGGCACCTGAACTCGCCCTGTTTCCCCTTTGTATCTCCAGCCGGACAAAACGGTCAGACAATGCCCTCTCTCCCTTGGCATGGAAACAGCGTGTCCGGTGTGAGAAGCGAGCAGATGGCGTGCTTTTGGTAATCCATAGTGGAGCTTTATTCTGTGACAGCAATTCTCCCATAGGGTCTAGTTTTGAAGAGGCAAAAATGTTTTATGTACGCTTGAATGGGCCAGAGAGGACATTTGGGTTTGTTGAGGTCAGTATGCAAATGTACTGTGAAATACTCCGGTGAGTGTGGAGTGAAGCTTTGTGTACAGATGGTTAAGTGCGGCGGCTAACAAGGTCTGTATGCCCCCCTGTTGTAGTGCCCTGGCATAACGCTGGCCCTTTTATTATGGCTGCTTCTATAGACACAAGAGCCCTTATGATTTTGAATGTTATTGAAGAAGAGAATGTGAAAGAGCTGAAGGTATCAGGCCACTTGTGAAGGTTAAGTAGACTTCATGTGTCCCATTGCAATTCTCTTAAACTTAGAGGAGCACTGGACCCCTTTAGACCTTTCCATTAGACATGAAGACAATTGTGCGCTTGATTTTAAAAGTTGCTGTGGATGACTGACATTCAAAAGCCTATTCTAATACAAATTATTACTAACACAAATCCGCAAGATCCAAGAGTTAGGAATTTTCCAGGGTGTGAAGAAATTATATTGATGAAAACTGGGAACATTATAATATTTTTCAAAAGTGTATTTATGTCTGTGATTCAACTTAATGGGAAACCGACATGATGAAAACTCATTACATATAAAGTGACTTGTTATAATTTAGATGATGATGTCTTACAGTCCATTTCCTGAGATGTGTTTGTTATCAACATCTCATTACATCTCCTCCACCTATAAGTCCCACCATAACCTTGCACCACCCTGCCTTATCGAGCTCCTACAACAATACCAACCCACCCACCGCCTGCTCAGCGGACTCAAACCCCCTCACTCCCATCACCCGCACTCACCGCTGGACCTTGTGGGACAGAGCCTTTGCCATTGCCGCCCCAAACTCACTCCCACTACCAAAAGTAGTGGGAGTGAGTAATATTTTCTTTGTTGAATATATTCTATGACAGTTGGGTCTGGGTTTGTGTCACTGGATTAACCCCATTTACTTGCTTAGATCATTGTGTTTGGTCTTATCTTCCTTGATCACTTCTATAAATTTATGTTACATTGCCGGTTATATGTATATACTGTATATCTATATATTTATACACACATTGGGCTTACCTTAATCTGGAGGAATTGAAATCTAGTTTTGCCTTGATTGGCCGTTTTTGTACAGTATTGCATTGTCTTTTTTGCAAATTAAACAGATGTTGAATTTAGTTAATTGCATGCCGGCTGATTAAAGCTATCATCGTTACCGCTAAACAGCCATCTTTTCTGAATGAGCTCCCTCAGCTGTGTAGTTTGGAGCTCTTTTTGGCAAAATTGTCAAATCATTAAACCAGCCCAGAAAAATGTTTGATTTGCTTCTGCCAAACTATAATACGATTCTCATTCCAAAACAACGAACAATGTTTTTCGCTGTTATTTTTGCAGTTATTTTTCGCAAGCTAGTGTTGCAATCAAGCTGCACAGGAATATATTTAAGATGCAGACCATATCTTCAATACAATAACCATGTTTGCGCCACCGTTTCTCAGAATTTTGATTTCATCTATGCAAAAGCTTATTACAATGCACATGCCAATGATACAGAACTTTGTGTCTCTGGGGGTTAGGTGTTTTCTATGCAAGAATAACAAAAGAATGCATCAAGGAATTTGGCTTGGCAGTACGTGCTGCTTATAGAGGAATATAGGAAGGGGAAAAAGTAATTAAAACTTTTGTTCTGTTTAAAAATATCATTCACTCTATAAGTAATGGCAGACAGCTGCACCAGTCTGATAATAAATGGATGAAATGAATGGTTATATGTGTTACTTTAAGAACTTCAAGTGCTCCAAGATAAGGATTGTTGCATGAATAGTAATGATCTAAATTGTGATGAGACAGAAAGTTTTCCTATAAGATGAGACTTTCAAACCAATTTATCCAAAGCTTTTCTAACAGTTCAGGCTGGTTAAAATCTGACTTTCTAATAGGATAAACCCAAAGATATATTTTAATTGCAGGGTCTTCATCAAGTTTTATATCCAAGACATAATGACAGAACCCTGGAATAAACTACACCCACAATGATCATCCTCGTCTCCCAACAGTTGCTGTATTGTCTCCCGCTGTGCCTCCAGCCAAGCTCCCTTCAGCAAAAATGACACAAATGCGGATTTTATAGTGGATCACTCCTCCACTCGTCTTGGGGTTCCATCTGCGGGAAAGACGGAGAGGGAAGAGAAGGGAGAGTAGTGTGTCAGTTTTGAAAATAACAAGCGGAAATGACCACTATGTCAACTGAAGCGCGTAGGAGTTGTAAAGTAAAGTGGGGAGTCTTAATGAGGGAGGCTATGCTAGTTTTTCAATTCCAGTAAAAAAAAAAAAAAAAAAAAAAAAACTGATCAAGGGCCAGTGTAATGTGATGAATAATACATGCTACAAGTGAGTGTCTGTCATTGTGTTTGGTGTAGTTTTGTCTTGTAGTTTTTAACCCTCTGGAGTCAACCACTGCACCTCCAGCCACGACTCCGTGAAGCTGATCAAGTTCGCGGACGACACCACCCTCATTGGACTCATCTCCAACAACGATGAGTCCGCCTACAGGAGGGAGGTGGACCGGCTGGTGTCCTGGTGCAGTGGTAACAACCTGGAGCTGAACGCCCAGAAGACAGTGGAGATGATTGTGGACTTCAGGAAGAGCACTGTCCCCCCGCCCCCACCCTCCGTGATGGACTCCCCCATCACCTCTGTGGAGTCCTTCCGTTTCCTGGGCACCACCATCACCCAGGACCTCAAGTGGGAGCCGACCATCAGCTCCCTCATCAAGAAGGCCCAGCAGAGGATGTACTTCCTGCGGCAGCTCAGGAAAGCCAAGCTGCCTGCACAGATGTTGGTGCAGTTCTACACGGCCATCATCGAGTCCATCCTCACCTCCTCCATCACCGTGTGGTTCGCTGGAGCCACAGTCAGGGACAAACAGAGACTACAGCGCATTGTGCGCTCTGCAGAGGAAGTGATCGGCCGCAGCCTTCCATCGCTGCAGGACCTGTACGTCGCCCGAGCTCGAGGCCGGGCTGGTCGTATCACAGCCGACCCCTCTCACCCTGCACATGGACTATTCCAACCACTCCCCTCAGGCAGGAGGCTGCGGTCCATCAGGACTAGAACCTCCCGCCACAAGAACAGTTTCTTCCCCTCTGCTGTTGGACTCTTGAACACTTCTTAACCTGTCCCCCCGCCCTTTATAAAGTCACTTTACTGCCCATCATACGTCACTTTACTTCACTGTACTGCTGTCACCTTACATTGTGTGCACCATGTGCACTTGTATATTGTAAATAGTAACTGTAACTCTATTTTAAATTTAAATTTATTCTTTAGAAGTGTTTTTTATTCTTATTTTTATTATCTCTTTTTGACTGTTGCACTGAGCCAAAGCAATTTCCAAGTCTGTGACCTCCCGTTACTTACGTTGGCAATAAAAATGATTCTGATTCTGATTCTGATTCTGATTCTATAGTTGGATTTCCTTAATAAACAATATGTTTTTGTGGTTTTGAATGTTCTATGCCTCAATTTCCACCCTTCCCAAAAATGAAGAATTTATAGGAAAGACGCATAACATGGCATTATTCTTTCTCTACAGAAGTAAAAAGCTACCTGGGACAGACTGATGGAAGCAAGCTAACTAATCTGTGCACTCTGAGCTGCACCTGTAATGCACACACACAGACTCATACTGGCAGATGTGGTTAAAGTGCACCAGATTTAGGCCCTGTTTCGACGGAGACCCTGCAACAGTAAAACTGTAGAGTTGGGTATAAGTTTGGCCTTTTGTTTACATGAAGACGGTGTTTCAGGTGAAAACATGTTGAGAAACACTTCCTCCAGAGTGGAACAGAAAAGATACGCTGCGGGGGCTGTTTCACAGCTGTGTGAAGAAAAAGGTGTGAATTCTCTGTTGCTCCAGTACTTCTCTCACGTACATTTAGACGTAAAGAACAATGGCAGTGCGTCAACTAATGTTATGTTTGCTTTGAGCGTTACACAGAGGAGAATTTTACTTCTTAATCCAAACGAAACCACACAAAGTTGTTGTTTAAGTTTCCATGTTTGCAGTGGCCTGAGGAGGATGTTGTTGAGGAAGGGGGTCTACTCCTGGGTGTCACGTGTGTCGTGCTGAAAGCAATGTTTTCAGTTGTGGTGTAGACGCTGTGCACTTGAAT